ATTGCATTGACATCAGGAAAGTAACAATGAGATTCGATCTCAAATAGCTATCAGACCCAAATGCTTCTGCCCGGTTCGAACCAGGGACGATTCGCGCGTTAAAGCGATGAGATAACCACTACACTACAGAAAAAGCTGGATGGCTGTACTTTGCCTAATAATTTCGAGCTTTCAGTAGCCATCTAATTTTCTCGTTTTTTAGCAGCTATATGAATTCTTAAATGACCCAAATTTCTGGAGGGCGCAGGAAGCTGCGTTGTGCAGTTTCTGTAGTGTAGTGGTTTATCACGTTCGGCTAACACGCGAATGGTCCCCCTGTTTGAATCCGGGGCAGAAACCATATGGATTTTGATACATTTTTAGAATTTTTTAGAAGGAAAGCCATTGTATCTAGTAGATGTTGATATGATATCAAACAAGGAAAGCGAAAACTTGCCTTGACATCAGGGAAAGTAACAATGAGTTCCGATCTCACCAGCTATCAGACCCAAATGTTTCTGCCGGGGTTTCGAACAGGGGACCTTTCGCGTGTGAGGCGAACGTGATAACCACTACACTACAGAAACAGCTGTATATTTGTACTTTGCCTGAAAATGTCGTACTTTCAGCAGACATCTACTCTTCTCATTTTTAGCAGCTGTATGAATTCTTAAACGACCCAAATTTCCGGAGGTGCAGGAAGCTGCATTGTGCAGTTTCTGTAGTGTTGCGGTTATCACGTTCGCCTAACACGCGAAAGGGCTCCGGTTCAAAACCGGGCAGAAACATTGGGAATTTAATGCAATTTTATAACATTAACGTGATTGTAGATGTTGATATGATATCAAACAAGGAAAGCGAAAACTTGCATTGACGTCAGGAAAGTAACAATGAGTTCCGATCTCAACCAGCTATCAGACCCAAATGTTTCTGCCCGGTTTCGAACCCGGGGACCTTTCTTGTTTGAGGCGAACGTGAAAACCACTACACTACAGAAACAGCGGTATGGCTGTAGTTTGCCTAAAAATGTCACGCTTTCAGTAGACATCTACTTTTCTCGTTTTTAGCAGCTGTATGAATTCTTAAATGACCCAAATTTCTGGAGGTGCAGGAAGCTGCATTGTGCAGTTTCTGTAGTGTAGTGGTTATCACGTTTGCCTAACACGCGAAAGGTTCACCGTTCGAAACCGGGCAGAAACTTCAGGATTTGATACATTTTTAGAACATTAAAGGGAAAGCCATTTGTATCTAGCAGATTTTGACACGATATCAAACAAGGAAAGCGAAAACTTGCATTGACATCAGGAAAGGATCAATAAATTCCGATCTCAAACAGCTATCAGACCCAAATGCATCTGCCCGGTTTCGAACCAGGGACCTTTCGCGTGTAAAGAGAACGTGATAACCACTACACTACAGAAACAGCGGTATGGCTGTACTTTGCCTAAAAATGTCACGCTTTCAGTAGACATCTACTTTTCTCGTTTTAGCAGTTGTATGAATTCTTAAACGACCCAAATTTCTGGAGGTGCAGGAAGATGTATTGCGCCTGTTCTGTAGTGTAGTGGTTATCACGTTCGCCCTAACACGCGAAAGGGCTCCGGTTCAAACCCGGAAGGAAACATGAATTTGATAGCACTTTTAGAACATTAACGTGATTGTAGATGGTTGATATGATATCAAACAAGGAAAGCGAAAACTTGCATTGACATCAGGAAAGTAACAATGAGTTTCGATTCTCAAATAGCTATCAGACCCAAATGCTTCTGCCCGGTTTCGAACCAGGGAAGTTTAGTTCGCGCTGTAAAGCGAATGAGATAACCACTACACTACAGAAACAGCTGGTTGGCTTGTACTTTGCCTAATAATTTCGAGCTTTCAGTAGCCCATCTAATTTTCTCGTTTTTAGCAGCTATATGTATTCTTAAATGACCCACCATTTCTGGAGGCGCAGGAAGCTGCGTTGTGCAGTTTCTGTAGTGTAGTGGTTATCACGTTCGGCTAACACGCAGAATGGTCCCCTTTTTGAATCCGGCAGCCAAACATATGGATTTTGATACATTTTTAGAATTTTTTAGAGAGGGAAAGCCATTTGTATCTAGTAGATGTTGATATGATATCAAACAAGGAAAGGCGGAAAACCTTGCCTTGACATCAGGAAAGTAACAATGAGTTCCGATCTCACCAGCTATCAGACCCGAATGTTTCTGCCCGGTTTCGAACCGGGGACCTTTCGCGAGCCGAAACGTGATAACCACTACACTACAGAAACAGTTGTATATTTGTACTTTGCCAGAAAATGTCGTACTTTCAGCAGACATCTACTTTTCTCATTTTTAGCAGCTGTATGATTCTTAAGACGACCCAAATTTCTGGAGGTGCAGGAAGCTGCATAGTGCAGTTTCTGTATTGTTGCGGTTATCACGTTCGCCCAAACACGCGAAAGGGCTCCGGTTCAAAACCGGGCAGAAACATTGGGAATTTATAATGCAATTTTATAACATTAACGTGATTGTAGATGTTTGATATGATATCAAACAAGGAAAGCGAAAACTTGCATTGACGTCAGGAAAGTAACAATGAGTTCCGATCTCAACCAGCTATCAGACCCAAATGTTTCTGCCCGGTTTCGAACCCGGGAACTTTTCGCGTGTGAGGCGAACGTGATAACCACTACACTACAGAAACAGCGGTATGGCTGTACTTTGCCTAAAAATGTCACGCTTTCAGTAGACATCTACTTTTCTCGTTTTTAGCAGCTGTATGAATTCTTAAATGACCCAAATTTCTGGAGATGCAGGAAGCTGCATTGTGCAGTTTCTGTAGTGTAGTGGTTATCACGTTTGCCAAACACGCGAAAGGTCCCCGGTTCGAAACCGGGCAGAAACTTCAGGATTTGATACATTTTTAGAACATTAAAGGGAAAGCCATTTGTATCTAGCAGATTTTGACATGATATCAAACAAGGAAAGCGAAAACTTGCATTGACATCAGGAAAGGATCAATAAATTCCGATCTCAAACAGCTATCAGACCCAAATGCTTCTGCCCGGTTTCGAACCAGGGACCTTTCGCGTGTAAAGCGAACGTGATAACCACTACACTACAGAAACAGCTGCGACTGTGTTCTTACGCCTAAAAATCTCGTGCTTTCAGTAGACATCTAATTTTGGCGTTTTTAGCAGCTTATGAATTCTTAAAGGGGCACCTTGGCAACTTTTTCAACTTAATAAAACCCGTCTGGAAATCATTTGGATGGTTAAATGGTCTGTTTCCGGTGTTAACGGTGACTGTCCCCGCTCCCCCCGGCGCCCCCCCGGTGGAAAACCAGCCTTGCAACTTTGGGACTACCGTTCCCGGTAAATTGGAAATGGGTAGTATCGCGAGAAGCGAGAACGAGGCTGAGAAACACAAACTGCTTTACGGTAAATTCATACGTAAACCACATCTCGCCCCCCTCAATAACGGTTAATCACGCGGCTATACATGTCAGTGTTCTATGATACAGTGTATAATGTACTACCCACCTCGGTAGACATCGCGCCAACACGAAAAACACCCGGCAACAAATGAAGAGTTTAGATGCAAAAGCCTCTAAATCCGTTTTGACCACTTTTCTTATAAATGACCATTTTTTATCAGGCTTCTATGTTTCAAGTTCAGTCATTTATTTTTAATGAAAATGATAAGGTTATTAGTTAATGAATAAAACATTTTTTTTTCAAAAATGTCACTTTAGTCTGTTTATGTGTTTTTACCAAATACATTTTTTTTTTGCGTCAAAAACAGCTAAATCCACCGGTACTTTTTTGGCAAAAACCTCTAAATCCACATATTTGGACAAGACATAGTCAAAAGTAGTAAAATCACTTATATATATTATATATTTATATTATTATTATATTATATGTAAATGATGGAATAACAATAAAATTATATAAAAAAAATAAAACATGAAAAAAAAGTTAAAAGTGGTCAAGTAAGTTAATTTCTTATGTTTGGGCATCAGATTCAACTATAAAAAAGCTCATTACATTAATTAAAAAAGCTTATTACGTTCAAAAACATTTGGCATATAATCAAGTAGGCCTATATATAAGAGAAAAGACGTAAATCTGATTTTTTTTTTTTAAAGAGACCTCAACGAACTGACAATACTCCCCATGCTTGAAAGGAGAGGTGCAAACACACACCAAATGTGAGGTGCTGGGCAACTGAGAGAGAAGATCAGTACAAGGAGAGCGGTGCCGCACACTCCGAGTTGTGAACAACGTCGGTAGTTTATTACGGTGATAATGTTTCGGCCGTCTGGCCTTCCTCAGATCGCGCATCTATGCATCCGCATAGATCGCGCATCTATGCATCCGCATAGATGGCGCATCTATGCATCCGCATAGATCACGCATCTATGCGATCTGAGGTAAGGATATATCTATAATCTATAATAAAGATAAAGCATATAAATAAATAATAAAGAATAATATAATAAAGAGTCTATCTATATGATCTATAATCTATCTTAGAAGCGATCTAAGCCGGCTCCTCAGCGCGCCGCCATGTTAACTGGGTGAAGTCACATGATTCCGTGTTGCGTTGTGATTGGTTCTCGGAACGTAGCGGCATTTGCTGACAAAGGGAAGTGGCGTTTAGAGGTTTATGCCTACAAATCGAGATTTCAGACGAGGAAAAGAGTGGTATTTTGCGGGTTTTGACGCGAAATGATTTGATTACCATATACTACTGTGCGGAGAGCAGTCACTCAATTTATTTATCTCATTTTTGACGGAGGTGGCGTTTAGAGGCTTTTGCATCTGAACTCTTCAAATGCACATGAGCAGCGGGTAGAAAGGGGGAGGAGGGTGCCGCAAGTGAGTTTTTTTTACGACAGTGTTGTGTAAAATACGGTCCCAGACCTGTAGGGGGAGCTCGTTGAGAAAACATGCGACCACAAAAGTGAAAACCAGCGAAGAAATGGCCAGAGTTGCCAAGTGCCCCTTTAAACGACCCAAATTTCTGGAGGTGCAGGAAGCTGCGTTGTGCAGTTTCTGTCGTGTAGTGGTATCACCATTGCCTAATACGCGAATGGTCCCCTGTTTGAATCCGGGCAGAAACATCTGGAATTGGATACATTTTTAGAACATTAACGGGAAGGCCATTTGTACCTAGTAAATGTTGACATGACATCAAACAAGAAAATCCAAAACCTGCATTGACATCAGGAAACGATCAATGAGTTCCGATCTCAACCAGCTATCAGACCCAAATGTTTCTGCCGGTTTCGAACCTGGGAACTTTCGCATGTGAGGGCAAACGTGATAACCACTACACTACAGAAACAGCAGTATGGCAGTTCTTTGCCTAAAAATGTCACGCTTTCAGTAGACATCTACTTTTCTCGTTTTTAGCAGCTGTATAAATTCTTAAGTGACCCAAATTTCTGGAGGTGCAGGAAGATGTATTGTGCAGTTTCTGTAGTGTAGTGGTTAGCACGTTCGCCTAACACGCGAAAGGTCCCTGGTTCGAAACCGGGCAGAAACAGTTGGAAATTGATGCAATTTTAGAACTTTAACGTGAAAGCAATTGAGAGATGTTGACACGATATCAAACTAGGAAAGCCAAAATCTGCATTGACATCAGGAAAGGATCAAGGAGTTCCAATCTCAACCAGCTATCAGACCCCTATTGTTTCTGCCCGGTTACGAACCAGGGACCTTTCGCGTGTAAAGCGAATGTGATAACCACTACACTACAGAAACAGCGGTATGGCTGTAGTTTGCCTAAAAATGTCACGCTTTCAGTAGACATCTACTTTTCTCGTTTTTAGCAGCTGTATGAATTCTTAAATGACCCAAATTTCTGGAGGTGCAGGAAGCTGCATTGTGCAGTTTCTGTAGTGTAGTGGTTATCACGTTTGCCTAACACGCGAAAGGTTCACCGTTCGAAACCGGGCAGAAACTTCAGGATTTGATACATTTTTAGAACATTAAAGGGAAAGCCATTTGTATCTAGCAGATTTTGACACGATATCAAACAAGGAAATGATGCACTTTTAGAACATTAACGTGATTGTAGATGGTTGATATGATATCAAACAAGGAAAGCGAAAACTTGCATTGACATCAGGAAAGTAACAATGAGTTTCGATCTCAAATAGCTATCAGACCCAAATGCTTCTGCCCGGTTTCGAACCAGGGACGTTTCGCGCGGTAAAGCGAATGAGATAACCACTACACTACAGAAACAGCTGGATGGCTGTACTTTGCCTAATAATTTCGAGCTTTCAGTAGCCATCTAATTTCTTCGTTTTTAGCAGCTATATGAATTCTTAAATGACCCACATTTCTGGAGGCGCAGGAAGCTGCGTTGTGCAGTTTCTGTAGTGTAGTGGTTATCACGTTCGGCTAACACGCGAATGGTCCCCTGTTTGAATCCGGGCAGAAACATATGGATTTTGATACATTTTTAGAATTTTTAGAAGGGAAAGCCATTTGTATCTAGTAGATGTTGATATGATATCAAACAAGGAAAGCGAAAAACTTGCCTTGACATCAGGAAAGTAACAATGAGTTCCGATCTCACCAGCTATCAGACCCGAATGTTTCTGCCCGGTTTCGAACCGGGGACCTTTCGCGTGTGAGGCGAACGTGATAACCACTACACTACAGAAACAGTTAGTATATTTGTACTTTGCCTGAAAATGTCGTACTTTCAGCAGACATCTACTTTTCTCATTTTTAGCAGCTGTATGAATTCTTAAACGACCCAAATTTCTGGAGGTGCAGGAAGCTGCATTGTGCAGTTTCTGTAGTGTTGCGGTTATCACGTTCGCCTAACACGCGAAAGGGCTCCGGTTCAAAACCGGGCAGAAACATTGGGAATTTAATGCAATTTTATAACATTAACGTGATTGTAGATGTTGATATGATATCAAACAAGGAAAGCGAAAACTTGCATTGACGTCAGGAAAGTAACAATGAGTTCCGATCTCAACCAGCTATCAGACCCAAATGTTTCTGCCCGGTTTCGAACCCGGGAACTTTTCGCGTGTGAGGCGAACGTGATAACCACTACACTACAGAAACAGCGGTATGGCTGTACTTTGCCTAAAAATGTCACGCTTTCAGTAGACATCTACTTTTCTCGTTTTTAGCAGCTGTATGAATTCTTAAATGACCCAAATTTCTGGAGATGCAGGAAGCTGCATTGTGCAGTTTCTGTAGTGTAGTGGTTATCACGTTTGCCAAACACGCGAAAGGTCCCCGGTTCGAAACCG